TCGATAATCGTTTGCGTTATTGGAAAAAGAACTTTTTAAAACATCGTTTGATAAGTAATAAAACTACGTAATTCCACGCGTTTCTTCGTATAAACACTTTTGTCCAATCAACGACTGTTTCTTTTAATGGATTTATCACTTCATGTACCGCATTTAGTTTCTGTTGAAATTTTAGTTCTTCACTTCACTACATTAAACTTTCTGTTAAAATGTTCAGATTTATTTCAACCCGGAAGTCAAGAGAACTAACTCATTTTAGAATAATGTCCATAAATTGTAAAATTTTTTTTTTTTTAAAAAAAAAAGTGTAAATTGCAAAAATTATTATTACTAAAGTTGCAAAAAGTTCAATTAAATTTCGATTGCAAAGTATCGACCGATTATTTGCAACCGATTGCAACTAATCGATATCGACAGACAAATTTATTAACTTTGGTGTCGTAAATGCATAACTGGTTGACTCAAAATCTCATCGTGTCACTTTAATTAAACATTCAGTTAAGCTTCAGTTATTTTTAAATTCACTAACTTAAATCTCAAAAGTACGGCAAATTTTTGCGTTTGCTATTTATTTTGTATTATAATTCATGCATTCTTAAATTTCTTATTAAATTCTTATACCACTATCGCCATTTAAATATTGCGTTACCTCTGCCCGAAATTCAAATAATTCAGAGTGGTTCATAACTCAAATAAGTTTTCATAATTTTAATCAAAAATAAGATATACAATTTATATTATGCAACCTTATCTTTACACCACTAAAATACTGAATTACTTTTTAATTAAAATGTAAATTATTTTGATTTGTTATCACAATTTACGTCAAAGGTATGTTCCCCGATTTATACGTGATAACAAATCAAAATGTGAGAAATTCTGATATGATCGCATCATTCGAATACTCTAAAATAACTTACCCCAAACCGCCAAATATGTTATAATTTTTATGTTTATTTATTTTGTAAAATAAATTCTAGTTTTCTCACTTTAACAAAATATTGCGCTATTTCAAACAAATATGTGAATAGTTCGGAGTTTTTCGCAGCATTAAAATATTGCATTGGTTTATAAATCGTCAGAGATGTGACAATATTCCGCGATTTTGTATAATAAATTCTTGTTTTTGGCATCACAAAAATCTTAATTTAAATAGAAATACGAATAACAATAAGTTGCTGGTAGTATTCAAATGAAATATGATTTTTTAAAAAAACTACTAAACACGTAAACGACGTGCTAATGTTTTAAATTTATTCATTTCACATTATAAATCCGTATTTTTCTCACCACAAACATATCGCATTATTTCTAATAAAAACCTGAATTAAACGGAGTTGTTCGCAAACTACTGTCAACATACGAATTGAAGATAGAATCTACTATCTGAATCGTGTTCTATTAAATATCTTATCAGATCTCCTTTTAAAGGGCAGTTGAGAAGGATTAGTAGATATATCCAAATTTATAATGCCGCGAATGTGTATTGAAATCTGACATACATGGAGTCTCGCCTTTGATGCGACAAACTCGAAGATGGTGGCCGAAATATTTAATTCAAGATCGAATAACGGCATTAATGCCTCTTGCGGACATTGCCGAAAAGGCCCCGACATTGGTCAAGTGCTCCAAAAGAGATCGGTTGCAACTCTTTTCGCCGATCAAAGGAACGCCAGTGGCCATTGTATTATGGGAAAGGGTTCGCCCACCCATGAATACCCCAACTACAAGCCCAAGCCATCTGACGATGAAACTGATGAATTCGGAACTGATGACTTCTAGAATTCTCTTTGGGGAGGTGTTCTTGGGGATGTGCTGAAAGGAAGAGGCAGACGTTAATGCATCTTTTGAAAGAGTTGTTTCCCCAAACTGCCCCCGAGTCTTAAGGGATGGTCGTCCAACAATAACTCCAAACCCTTACAAGATGACAAAGTCCAGCAGCAGTAGGTTTCCGGTTAAAATAATGAAAACCCATTTCCAGCTTCGATGAAACAATGACCGAAGATCGTAGCATCGCCGCCATTATTAACTTGTTTTCTTAATTGTAAAGACATCTCGCAGGAAGACATCCCCATCCTATGTCTACTAAACAAGCCACTGGAGAATATTATAGCATTTAAATTGAGCTTTAATTATTTTATCTCGCATGATATCAAAACTATCGTCTGATTTTGCTAAACCGTATGGAGCTATAAGCACAGGTGGTGCTAGAAGTTAATTTTTGTAAAAGGACTTCCGGGTTGCTACTTCCGATTAATTTTTGCACTTAGGATTGCAAAATATTTTACTGTTGTACTGCTTACAATATGACTTGTGTTATTTATCATTTCATTTTTAAATCCCTTCAACTTTAACTGATGGCATTAAAAGCTAAAGATAACACTCAAAACTTGGCAATCTTTACACTTTATTTATGTCTTGATATTTATCTCCTGAAATCAATTTATGGCTCTTAACTGTTTAGAATTCGAAAATTACAGAAATATCCTATGGACTAAGTGCACATTTAAATACAAATCTCAATAATAAATCTTTCTAGAATATCAAACCTGTTCACATATCCTCTTGTAAATATATCATAGCCGAAGGGATACACCGGAAGTTTTCAAAATTCCAGTTTCAGAATATTGTCATTGTTTGTGCTCAGATCTCTTTAAAAAACGCAACTTAACTTAAAATATGTAGTTCTGTCATAACTTGAAACGACGTCTACACTGTAACATATTTAGGCCTACCCCTCGAAAACTGTAAGATTAATCACAAAATTCCAATCATTAGACCAAACATTATTCATGATTAATTTTTTTTCCCAACCAAACAATATAAATAAAATTTATTTAAGCTAACAAAATACCAGTCAACGTATTTTTATTTCAAGAGGAACTTTCAGTTCACCTTTGCTACATTATATAAAATATTTATTAACAGGCATTTTATTTGTTTCGATTTGACAAGAAATTTTTATTTTTCAGGACTATATATAAATTCAGTATTAGTCTTTATAAAATACCAAAGATAAAAACGCTAATTTCCAAGTTTTAATTTTTCTTATTTATACTAGTTATTTTTCTGTACCATTAGATTGTAGTCAGAAAATTGCTATTTGAATTGCGTTAGTTGCAGGTCCACTTCCCAATTTAATCAGATTTGTTTGTCTAATTGCTATCCTTTCAGCCAATAAATAGCGGCCCCCTTGCCTCGGCAGAATCTGCTAAAAATCTTTAATTCCGCGACTAACGTCATTAAGTTCAATTCCAGAATCTTGCACTTGAAAGCGAGACGGTGTCTTTCCGAAAACTTTGTTAAAACTGGAGCTCGTTCGTAATCGACGTCTTTATCTTTAACTCAATTTTCCTTTTCATCAAAAAGAAGTTCCCACACTGTCTAGACGAAAAGATTCCGTCTTTTCTTTTCTTCCCATATTACTTTCAGACACATCGATTTCATTTTGCAAATGAAATCGACGTGATTCAATGAAAAAGATCACTCTTAAAAAGTACCTGCACACCCACGCAGAATGGTACCGGTGTCTGGTGCACCCCACTCTAAGTGAGTTGGTGCCTTTCAGTAAGGCGATGTCCAATTAGAGGGCGAAAAGTCTCTTTGAAAACGGTCGTACTTTGGGAAAACCTTTGACATCGTCAAGGGACACTAATTACTTGGCGAATTTCTCGCAGCCAAGTTCGTCTTAAACGAATTCGGTCTAACGAAGTTTTAACTCTCTTTTCTCTCCATTTAGAATCCTGGTGTGAATTATCTGCGTCTTAATTCGATTGTGACTCGCAACGGGAGGAAATCAGATTTCGTGCGAAAGGGTTCTTGGCAGTTGCAGTTAAGGTGTTAAATTGGAGGGCTGTGCGGCATGAAAAGGGGTGCTCTCAACGCGGAGAAAGGCTGACGATGTGATTTTAAAATAAGACTGCCAGCTTTCTAATAGCATATTCTTCACCACGGTTCTTCAATGCAGTTTTCTAGTATCGAATGCCGAATATTCTTCCAACTCCAGAACACAGACAGCCATGATAACATATATTTTGGAGCCGATATATATATACATATATATTTTTTAAAATTTTCTTAAGAATTTGTTTATATTTAAAATATTTTTTTAGGGTCGACGAATTTATTAGGAGAAATAGTGTCAGAAGACGAAAAAAACAATTTGACCATAAGAAACTTTACTCCGCGTAAACATTGATTCTAATGGGCAATGACAGGGTTGCCACTCCACAGGGAAAACCTGGAAAATACAGGGAATTTTGTTTCTTATTTTTGTCTTTTAAAAAATGGTGACCACTCAAAGCGTAATCTATGGGATGTTTAACCATAATATTTCAGCTATACTAAACTATTTCATTTGCCATAGCATTATTTAAGTATGTTCAGCTGTTTTTCCAGCAATTAAAATTAATACAAATAGTTAGCCCAACAATAGCTCACACAAGAGCCTAGTAATTGTTGTTTTCTCTTAATATATTGTGCATAATATGTACAGGGAAAACACAGGGAATTTTTTTTTTTTCAGATTTGAGTGGCAACCCTGAATGATATTAGAAGCCGTTTGAAAGTAAATCAGAAATTAAAGCTTAAATTTCGAGCCTCTTTATGTGTTTTACTAAGATTAAGATATTCTCCAGTATTTAAAATCTAGCACTAGTTATTCTAATAAATTCTTGAATAAACCTTATATCACCTACCCTCAAAACCAAGCTATTAATGGACTTAATTCAACATTTTAAACAATTCTTTGTTTTGAAGTTCAATAAGTTCTATTCCTTGGCGAAAAATCTTCGAAAAATAACCAAAATGGTGTGTAAAGTTGAACTACTTTCCCATCCTGGTTGAGCAGTGTTGTAGTGGTTGACTTGTTCTAGAATATAGATGCCCTTTGAAAAGTGTAGTAATTCAGTACGATTAGGATTTAACACACACCAAAATGTTTAACGCTCTGCAAGCATGTGAATCCAACTGATATTGATGATTTTCTTTTCTCTTTTCAGAGAGTTCTTCTACATCCAAATGGAAAAGTATGCTCGCCAAGCAATGTCCGAAGGAATTAAGGCTGCAGACGACTTGAAAGTGACGGCAGACTCTGAACTCCTACGAGTTCTGAATCTACACTACAATCGAAACAATCATATCGAGGTATGTACAAACGCTTCTTATATTTTGGTTACTTTTGACCGTAACTTAACTGAAACACTCAATGCAAAATAATAATAATAAAATGGTCGATGACGCAACCATAACTATAAAGTATGCATCTAGTAATTCAATTTGATCTGGTTTTCGTATCCAAAAAACTTAATAATTTTTAGTACAAGCAAAATTCCGATTATATAACAAATTTTTTTAGTAACTATTAGACTGTTTTTTTATAATTAAAAAATACCAAAATGCATTGTTGCTTGTAATTAGAGCGTGCAACAGAAGATATATTTAAAAAAATACCAAAATATATTGTTGCTTGTAATTAGAGCGTCTAACAAAAAATATATTAAAAAAATACCAAAATATATTGTTGCTTGTAATTAGAGCGTCCAACAGAAGATAGATTTAAAAAAATACCAAAATATATTGTTGCTTGTAATTAGAGCGTCCATCAAAAATATATATTAAAAAAAATACCAAAATATATTGTTGCTTGTAATTAGAGCGTCCAACAAAAATATATATTAAAAAAATACCAAAATATATTGTTGCTTGTAATTAGAGCGTCCAACAAAAAATATATAAAAGGTGCACCGGTCTTCCATCTGTATCAAAGGGTTAAGATACACAAAAAATTTTTTTACAGTGTAGTAATCAATGTTCTTCACTAATATGGTTTATTTTGCTTGTTGTAACAAAAATTTTTTTTTAAACAGGCACCAGAAAATTTCCGGTATGTTGTAGAGCAGACTCTCCGAGAATTCTACAAGGCTCTAGTCGCTGGAAAGGACGCTGAGCAGTCTTGGAAGAAGTCTATCTACAAGATTATCGCCCGACTGGACGACAACGTACCCGAATACTTCAAATCGCCGAACTTTTTGGACACACTGGAGTGACGGTGGTGGAACTTATGAACCCCCGTGCCTTCTCTGCCCCCGTGTTTTGCCGTCACACCTCTACTTGACTGCCAACAAATGCGAGGATTCACAGACTCATGAAATGCTGCTGCTTACGTTTTCAGAGATTTATGATCAGTTCGGAACAGAAATCAAACCTTTCTGAAGTGTTTGGCCTTGCCAAGAAAGCAAACAAACGTTCACACGCAAGCATAAAAGACGTTTTTACATAGGTTCTTGTGCAACGTCAAAACCGAAGGACGCGCAAGGTTGTATATAAGATATGAATGACGTGAAAAAAAAGACTATAAAAAAAGAAGGAATTCGTGCCCTTCAGAACAAAGTTACTTTTTCTTTTTTAAAAAAAAAAATCTAGAATTGAAATAACTGAAGACAGGAACAAAGTATTATTTTTCAATGCGAACTGGAAAAGGAATTATTTGAAAATTTAGGAATTGGCACTAAAAAGGAGTTCGGTGACAAAAAATTCGTTTTTTGCAATTGTAACAACAATATTGTAAAGGAGATAAGTGTATAGCTTGTGTCATTTAGTTTCGGAGTTTCTCCAAAGATGGAGCTGGTAGTAACTCACAATCTTTTCGACACTTTTTCTTCCTTCCATAAAATTTGGTTTTTGTCACTTAACTCCATTTTTCAATGTAAACTCCTCAACGGATTTAAGATTTATTTAAAATTTTAATTTTGTTACCTCTATTTGAATAGAATCAATCCCATAAAGTCTAATGTAAAACAAAAATATTGTTATTGTCTTAAAAAGTTGTGGAACGTATTTTGAAAAGTTAGAACTATGTTACACATTAAAATACGTATGTATAAAACACTTTTAACGCAGAGTTTTATATATGTGTTAATGAAAAAAAATAAAGGGTTGAATTAATTGTTACGAAAAGAAATAAATAAAATTAACGGGCACTGTTAAAATGATTAAAACTGTTAAAATAATTTGGCTTGTTGAACACCAAGACGATGCAGTTTTAGTAACTTGTGTCGAATTGGACAATATAACTTTTAAATTCATGATTATCTAGTTCATCTTCAATGAAATCTCTGATTTTTTGCTACGTTATTACGAACCAAAACTTTTAAGAACGGAGAGAATAATCTTAAAATGAAATTATAAAAATTGGGAAAAAAATATTTAACATGTTCTAGTTGTTATTTAAAGCTTTGTCACAAACTTCAGTTATTTCAATTTATTGGAATCTGTAACAAAAGGTTTACATGTACAGAATACTGTTTATTCTTTTATTATATTGTCTTTTACAAACTATTATTTAAACAAAACAATTATGTTAATGATCACATTGTGTGATCTAGTCAAAGATTCATACCAAAGTATATTTTTCCTCATTTTAGAAAAAAAAAATGAAATTAACTACACCAGTTATGTGAATATATGTATACCTATAGACGTTGACTTCACTTTAAGAGCACCGTATTCCTGCTTTTATAAAATGTTTTGACTGCTTTCAACTCATTTTTTAAACAAATAAAAGCAAGCTGTAGAAACTGTTTAGTTTTGGAAGCATCATAACTGTAATCCATAAAGGATAATCTGAATCTCATACAATTTTACTTCTGAGTACACTTTTAAAAAAAATTTGTGTGAATTTTAACTAGGAACAAAAACTATTTCAGTGATTTAATGTTTTAAAAAGGCGAAATCAGAGGTGATTTTTTGAAAAAATAGACGCATTAGGAACAATCATTGCATTTTAAAATAGATGTTAATAGGGGTGCTTAGTAGAAAACGTTAAATGACATTCCAGTAAATTTAAGAACAATAAAAAGCTTTTTACAAAACATATTTTTCGGTTGACATTTGCCTTCTTTAAAAAAAAAAACTTTTAACAAATTATCACACCAACTTATTTTTGCAACTAATTCCAATTTCTTACAGTCAATTTCAAATTCTTATAGCCAAGCTATTCTTTTTTAACAAATTCCAAATTCTTATAGTCCATCTATTTTTACAACAAATTCCAAATTCTTACAACGAATTCAAATTTTTATGGATAATCTGTTATTTCGAATAATTCTGAACCCTTATAGCCAACCTATTCCTACAACTAAGTTCAATAAAAAACGTTCTTAAACTATGAAATTTGTTTTCAAAATGTCACTGAGCAGGTTCTTCTACTAAGCTCCAATTCAAATAGAATAAAAAATGGCTAAAAAAACTGTTCTAAAATGTTCTACGATATGTTTCAAGCACCCCAATAATAAATATTTAAAAAATATCCAATTTACATTACTTGCAATTTTTTTAAATGTAAATATCTGGATTATAACAGAATGCAATTTATTTTTCTTGCTTTATTCGTAATATAATTAATAGAATAAAAACAGAAATTTAAAGTGAATGGATTTTTTTATTCCTATTATTATCAGCAAAATGATCAAAGAGGAAACATAAAATCAAACCAGTCATATTTCAAAACATTCCGTAAATTTAGTCATTTTTTGGACGGTGAATTACATTTTTTTTATTATTATTTGTTTATTGTAACTAGTCAGAGTTTCTATTACAAAATACTAATTTATTGTTTTATTTTTTATTGTATCCATTATTATTTCTGTGTAGATTTATTTTATGTATTATTTTTAGTGTGTTTAAAAAAATGTTTCTTCATGAAAAAATTAGGTCTGGTCATAAATTTGGGACTTGTACCCTGTTGCAACTCATTGATGTTCATAAAGTCCGTAATTGCGTTTAACGGATGAAATTCAAAAGTAGGAATTATTGAGTTCGAACAAGATCCAACTTTATAACCAGGCTCATTGTTTTACCAAAGATTATTCAGTTTATTCCAAATTATAATCGGTGCAAAATTGTCAAAAATTCAGTATTTTTATTTAGCTGTATATAATTAAATATCGGGAACTTAGTTTGCTCGTGTGTAAAACTCTAGTCAAAGAATCTCATTCAATTGTTTTGAATTGAATCTATTCATGAGTATGTGAAATCCTTGTAAGAAAAATCAAAAATCTTTATCGAGTAGATTTGAAAGTTCCTGGTGCAACAAATTATAAAACAATTCTAGTCGAAAACCTGTCGTGAAATTTTTAAAGTTGAAAAAAAAACTGTAGCTTTAGTTTCTATCAGGCATATAAAAACCTTTTGTTTTGTTTAGATACATTAAAAATCTTTTTATCACATTTTTAAAGTTATTTAAACGGCATACCATCTTCAAAACTCATTAATTCTAAAAAAGAAATGTTTGTTAAAATACTTTTGGGAAATTTTAAATAATACGATTCTATACATGCGAAAACTTTAAATTTATATTTGTTACTAGATACATCTACAAAAGTATTAAAGCGTTGAAAGAATTATTTCCTCTTTAAGAGCTTTTCCGTATGATTTAGTAATCACCAGTCACTTTTCTTTTACTAACGCCACCTGGAGGTGGAGGACGTATCTAATGTCGTAGAAGAGAAAATCCTTGCAAAATGAAATCATTTCCTTCTCTTTCTTTTAATGGCGGACATCCTTTTAGGAGAAGCTGGGAACAAAGCGTGCTCTTTTTTTTTTTATAAAGATATGTAACATCCTCATAGTCATTCTTGCAGCGCACGCTTTTATTTTTGAAGATTATCTTACGCAACTATGATCATAATTTCCCTAATATTCAAGAGTAAATAGATATTTACATTTCTTTTGTACTTCGAAAAAAAAATGGCGCGAAACTAAAAGCGTCATTTACATTTTACGCCTAAGTTTCTAATTATTTAATTTTTTTTAGTTAATAAAAAATGATTTAAAATTATTAATCAAATAGCTTTTATACACTTCTTTATACTAAGAATTTTAAAGTGTGCGAAGAAAATTTCTTCTTTTTCGGCAAGCGATTTTAAACTTTTCCATCAATAGTAATTATTTTTTTCTTTTCTATTTAAATATATGCAATACTTAAATTAATTGTAAAATATTATAAAAAATTAAATATTTAAAAAATAAAAAAAATAGCTTTAATAGAAGGTGGAAAGAAGGGCGGAAAAATTAAGAGAGACACGTTTCCAATTTTAAAGTCCTGGTAGAAACTCAAGTTTCGAAAAATAGTATCATTTTTTTCTCCTTAAGAGTTTATATCAAGAATTAAAGAAATCACTTTAAATATTTTTTTTCATTAATATCTGAACCAACCACATATCGTGACGATTGTATTAACCCTAGGTTCATAACTTACATAGAAGTTCATCTCTTTCTTTTTAAAAGTCAGGAATGTTTACGATTTTGCGCGGTTAGTGAAACGAATGTTTATGAATCTAGGTTTAATAAATAATTTCGAAGTCATTTTCAGGAATCAAATTTTAAGAATTATAGTTACCAGAAGAAACAATTCACGGACAAAAAAAAAAAAGTGAACCTTTTATATGTGTATAGTAGTCACTTTATTCCGACTAATTGTGAAGTTTTATTAAAAAGTATTATGTGATTTGTACAAACATGTTAATTATACTAAAGTGTGAATTTATTGCTACGTAAAACAACACATTCCTGCCTCTGAACATTTCATATTGTTCATAAGATGTTTATTGTACACAGCTGTACATTGTACACAGTTTTCAAACCTTTATTATTATGGAACGATTACAGATCTAGAGTGAAGAATAGGTTATATGTACACTGTGAAAAGATAAAAAAAAAAATGTTTTTTGCACATTATGGTAAAGTTTCCGGTGCTTGGAAATGAATTGTTATTTTGTAGAGAGCGCACTTTACGTACGCTGTTCTTATATTTATTGAAGCTGCCCTACCCTTTATAGAACATTTATGAACACTTCTTTATATATATTTTTTCCTCTTTTTTTATTGGTTCACTCATTTCACTTTCTCCCCAAACGTGATATATAGAAATTATCTCTCTCTTTCTCTCTGGAAAGTTTGTGAAAAATATTCATGTATACACTTCTTTTAATAGAAGTTATCAAGTGTATATTTATTGCTGTTCTTTCTATACCTATAATTCACTCACAAATCTATATATACATATAATATATTCATTTAAATTTAGCTCAAATAAAAAAAAAAAGATTTTTTAAACTGTTGTCTGTGTTTTCAAATCATTTCCTTAACTCTAAAAAACATCATCGATTGATCAATGAACCATATCAATATCTCATACCAGCGGTTCCTAAATGGGTTATTTTTGAGTTTTGACTATTTTAAACGGTTTTTTTTAACGTTTTTGAAATCTATAACTAATGAATAATCCATTATTTACTTATTATTTCGATTGCCTTTATATGTATTACAAAATAAAGAGACAGAAAAGAATATATTGTAGTCATATATTTTGCTTTGGATATATTAACACTATATTAAAAAGCACTCTTTTTTTGAGGATATCGTCTGAGCAGATGACAAGAATATATCGTTTTCTTATTTTGTTTTCCTGCTTTTTAAATTTTTTTATTTTTTATTAATAATTTTTCTTCACTTCAAATTTTTTTTCTCTTGTTTTCTTTGTATTTTTAACTTGTGATACACACGTATATATATAAAATTTCGACAATTTTAAAAATTTATGATAAAGATTAAAAAAAATCGCTCTAGCATTTCACATTGCACTTTTCAAATTAAAATGAAATAACTGCATTCTTTAATGAAGAAATATGTTTTCTCTAATAATCATTTTATTAAGCGTCTATAACAGTTCTGAACGGTTCTCTTTTGGATATATATATATATATATATATATATTGTTTACGATTTCGAATGTTTTTTTTTATTGTTTTTATAATACGAAATTTAGTATTTTGATTAAAAAAGAGAATTTAGGGAATTCGGTTATGAAAATGTCATTGTAAAAACAGTTATTTTAAAATTATTTTAACCACGTAATTTAGTTTAGCAAAATATCCAAAAGTAGTAAAATTATAATTAATAAATCTGTAAGTAGTAAAATTATAATATAAAGTGACACGCTTCTTCTCTTCGTTATGTCGCCTATATTTTGAAAAATCAAAACTGTATGGACTACGTTTATCTAATGAAATACTTCAAGCAGTAATTTAGAAATTGACATTAAAAAAGTTTTTTTTTGTAAAAAAAACTTAAAATCCGATCATTATGTTAGCTAATATCTCACTTGGAGATGTAAGTGGAACTTACTAAAAACTTAAAATCCGCTTATACCACGTAATTTTAAGCAAGAAATAAAATACAGACATAAATGATATTTCGCAATGCCAGAAACAACAGTGACAGTTTAAGATATGTTACACCGGAAAAGTGATATGCCATTCAATTACAAAATGATTAAATAAAAACATTGTAATCACTAACCTCTTAAAACAGTACCACTAGTAATAATATATATTGCTCATGGGCTGCAATAGTGGCATAATTCAAAAAACACGCGTTTTGGACTAAGAACAGGTGTAAATATAAAAATACACATTCTTTTCAGCAGCAATACTAGCACAACTCATAATACAACTTGAAGCTAATCTTCGTTGAAGCAAACTGAAGCATTTCCTATGTAAGTTCCTTAGCAATGAAAACTTTAAACTCACTTATCTCAAAACTTGATTTTTTTTGAGTTGTGCCGCTATTGCAGCCCATGAGCGATATTTAAACTTAGACTTACTTTGTGGATTTTCGTGCTTAAAGGTCATGATAACTAGGCAGTATTTAATTCGCGAAAATTTATAGATATAATCAATGGTTTAAAAAAAAACTATAACCTCTAGAATGTAAAAAACACAGGATTTATTTATTTATTGTTGTAAGCCTGTTGTTGTGTTCATTTATTTATTGTTTTCAGGCTTGTGTATTCATTAAGTTGATTGAAATTACATACATTTGCAAGCTTGAGGGCTTAATTTAGGCTTATAAACCATTGTCAAGTAGAAGGATCTCCTGAAGAATCATCCAGGTTTACGGCGGAATTCGAACCCTCCACCTTCACACTTCGCTCGGTGATACCTCTTGCCCAAGGATGCCCCTACTTATGAAGTAAAACAAAACAATACTTTAATTTAGGTCGCATAAGAGCTGCATCATGGGCTTTTGGCGCTGGTCTGCTAAACATCCCCAAGGATGATCCGAAAGCAACATACACACGTCACATCCCGTTTTACAGGGAGGACACATTGTAGAGTTATTGGCGAAGGATCGGCGATACTTTTCGGCCTCAATGAAAAACGCGTATTCGTAAAGGATATCTTAATGAAACGCGGGGCTTCCTTGACCAGTTCTGAAGCGTGAGCTCGAAGTCCACAGTAGTTCTAGATACAACTTAGTGCTTTTCTTTATTTATGCTCTCACGCCTTTATGAAAAAAGTAAAAGAATACACGCTTCAGTTACATATACTTTCTCAAATTTCGATCTTTAGTCACTTTGAGAGGAGTGAGCTTGTGATCGGAGTTAGGTAGTGATGGCGCAGAAGTAATCATTTGTGTACACAAGCTGGCAAATTCTTTTAAGAAACGAGCAAGAGACGCGCTATCACAGAGATTATATGTTTAATACCCAAATTTCCTAATAGAAACTCAGCTTTTTTTTCTTCAGTATTTTGGATTGCAGGTTCGTTCCCCAATTTCATAATAGAAACCTAGCTCTAAAGCCAAGATGCATACTCGAACCTCTAGCTTTTATTTTGATCGAACGAATATCATTTACATGAATGTCATTCACATATACGAGTGAATGATATTTGCTGATCAACGATCAGTTCTTCAGACCAATCTCTACGTGTTGTTTCCAAGTACGTTTTGGCGGGGAACTGTCGTAAAGGAAAGTATTCGCATTAAGTTCTAGCAATTCTAGCACAACCGATGGCTCGTTGCTTTGATTCGGGTGAAAACAAAATTTATTAAGCAAAAGAGTTACCGATACATATTTATCCGAAAACCTGACAAAAAAAAATTCATTACATTCATAGTTAGAATGCTTTGTTAATTTATAATTTTTTCTTATCGAACAGTTTCAGTTTAGTCATGCAATACAGAAGGTTATCAGTTCTATAGTGCTTTTAGGGTGCGAACATAAGATTTCCAGCAATGCAATTCGCGATCTTAAAGGTGTCAGCTCCTTCGACAAGAAAACTAAAAAGAAAAAAGCCACAGTTGAAATTAGAGATACGCATCGTGCTTTGTGCATAGTTAACTTCAACTATACGCTGTTAATTTCCACTCATAACAATGTTATAATTTAATATTCTTTATATCATATTGCCGTCATGAAATATTTGGGTTTTAGAACTAACAAATTGCTGGAATATTGAGAAAAAAAATTTTAAAATCAATTTGGTGAGATTTTTTCTTCTAGCTAAAAAGCACTAAAATCAATAATTCACAATTTTGGAGAATTTTTATGAGCCCCGTCAATACTTTGTGTAATTTTATAAATATTAAAAAACTCGATTGTAAACGCTTTATTTTCCTTCATCAAACTGTGCCGTTTTAAATTAAAGCTAATTTCAGATTATCATAGAGGGCGTTATTGGAAGATAGACAAAAATTATCACACACGAACAACTATTACAGATATACAACGTTTATAAAATCACCATATAATTCACTCGAAAGCGTCTTTTCATAATATAAGAAGAAAAAAAACTGCAAAACAGCCTTAAGTATTCACCCTAGTCACATAGTGAAAAAAAATCTTATTAAAGTAATTGAACTTTAATTCTACGGGCACTTTTTCAAAATAAATGGACGTTTTATATAAAAGAAAACGAGATTATCTTTTTACAGAATAATATACAACCACCAAGATTAAAATCGTCGCAATGTTTATGTACCTATTTTATACCATATATAATATTGAATACGTAAACATATAGCGGAAAAAATTACCCTGAAATCTGTAGTTGTAACTTGGTTTAATTTAACTTGACATGTGACTGAAAAGAATTTCGCCAGCGAATGTTTAAATCTTATGGCGATGAAATTTTCCAGTGATAAATATCATTCTTGTGATGAATCATTCTTCCTAAAAGAAATTTGCATTATTAAGAGATGTATATGAAAGAAATCATAATGACTAGTGTGCTATTAAAGACTTAGTAATTAATTAATAACTATAAAACAAATTTTCTTAATATGATGTCGAAAACTGCCACTGTACAATTAATATTACTTTACAAAATTTATTTAGTTTCATTACTTTCTTTTTAATTTTTCATATAAATAAGGGTATAAACTAATTTATAAAATAATTTAACATTATATGAAAGTACACGCAAAATCAACAGTTATAATTAATAGACTTACAAAAATATTTGCAAGTCCTGTATAATTGCATTTCTTATACATTTAAATTTTTGGAACAGGCTCTGACATTAGAAAGAAAGGATACAAAACAATTTGTACGATCCATTTTGCTCTCTTCGTTTCTGTCTAGCTTCGCCACTGTTCGCTCTTGACATATTGTTCAGATTCCATTTTAAGTTTTTTACTGAAAAGTGGGTGCTTACATTTTAATAGACTGATATTCTATAACTGTAACTGGATAACGTGGTAGCTGGATAAACGTTTTTAACTCTATTTTTGAACAACTGTTCCCAATTTTGTTTCAGCATTGGCATAATTTCTTTTTAAAATTCGTATAACTTTTCCTTTTGTCTTTTGTTATAGGTTAATAAAACACTCCAAAATAACCACTCCAAAAAAAAATTCAGTGTAATTATGATAAAACGATTTAATAACCTATTTTTAATGTATTTTTCATCTGAAAAGAGTTTTACTCTTTCTTGAAAAATTTTATTTAAGGCAGAGGGTGCCTTTATTGCTTTTCAGTGGCGCCATCTATGATCAAGAATATGACTTCAGCCACACACACGTCACAACCCAAGAAGCTCAAACATGCCTACGCATGTGACCTACGACGTCAGCGCCAGCTGATCGACATTAAACTAAATGACGTGTCAAAGTTGAGCAAAGTTTTTCCACATAAGTTAGAATATTAATTAATGTGAAGTACTTTAAATACAGTATCGTATCACACATTGAACTTGTTGAAATATTCTTTCTTCGATTTATTATTTGTTTATATATTTATTATAGCACGTGATGCATTTTTGTTCTGTGCA